CAAGTGCTTTATAACCATCTCATTTTATTTTTGCAAACTTCCTCTTAAAAATACTATTAGTGTCTCTATTTTACAGAAAAGGAAGCTGAGGTTCAAAGAGGGGAAATGAATTGCCTCAGGTTGCCCAGGTGGGTAGTGACAGAACACCATCCCAAGCTCCAGGCCTCACATTCTTTACATGATCTTAGCCAAAAGGCCAAGAAGGGATTCAGACCTCACGTCCTCATCAGAGAAATAAGTCCATCCCTATAACTCCTAAGCCTCACCCAAGTTTTACCATATTATTCACCCATTTCCTTTCCTTTTTTTTTTTTTTAGTTTAACCCTACTTCAAAATGCCAGCTAAAATTTGGGTAAATACTACAGTGCCTCAAAGGATCTGTAACTCATTGGACTTTCTATTCTGAAATTAGTGTCTGCATAGGAAAAGAGAGGCCCAGCAATTTTACAACCTCCTCCAACATTACAGTACTGAGTGCTTGTCACTCTGCCCAATCTTGTGAATCATCAGGTTAATTAGAAGGCACATACTAAGCCCTGGGGTATGTGCAGCTCTAATAACTGTCAGAGTTCAATGCAAGGCTCAATCCTTGGCCATCTTCTCTTTCTATTCTGCATCCTCTTTCAGGGTGATCTCATTCATTCTCATGCCTTTAGCTATCATTCATGAGGCTATGAATTTGAAATCTGTACCACTAGCCCATCTCTCTCCCCTGAACTTTGCCATTTAGGTGTCCCATAGATACATATACACCTCATGCTCAATGTATCTACATATGAACTCATCTTTCCTGCCTCACCCACATGGCTGTTTTCTAGCTCAGAAAGTACTACCATGGTTACCCAAGGTGGAAATCTAGACATTTGTGACTTCTTCCTTTTTCTCTTTCTGTCTTTACCTCTGGTTATTCATTAAAACATTCTCGCTCTTCTATATTTTTAATATCTTTGTTTTAGTTTGTTTCTGTTGCTTATAACAAAATACCTGGAACTAGGTAGTTCGTAAAAAAAAATGAAATTTGTTGCTTACAGTTTCTGAGGCTGGGAAAAAAAAAAGTCCAAAGACCACATCTGTAGTGGTGACAGTGATCCAAGGGTCTCGTACTGCAAGACGGTGGAAGCAAAAAGGGCTCCTGGTGCACTTTCCTTTTAAAGCCCTCAGAACCATGCCCCTGATCACCATTATTAATCTCTATGGCATGGTCCTACAATCTAATCACCTCTTCAAGGCCCCACTTTTCAATAACCATAATAGGATTTCCCACCCTCAACAATTAGTGG